ACCAATAAGTAATAAATAGCTAAATTTGGAACTTATGTAGAACTTATCCGTACATTGTGAAACAGACCCTTAGACATTAATTGTATTATTTTTTGCATATACCAATTAACGCTCGTTTTTCTTAAAATGTTTTAAATTTAAATTATATTATTTTTCCTCATTATTTTAATGGAAATATTATTATAGTAATCGCCTGGTGGTTCCAGGTTCGTTGATTTTATGTTTATTTTTACAAGTACGATTAAAAATATAAATATTGCATTGATTAAACACATCGACTTGTAAAAAAGAAAACATAAAGATTATTATTATTCAAGTAGTAGGTTGTTTAATGCTTATTTGAAATTTTATTAGCGTATTGGGGGCACGCCTGTCCAGGTCATCTCTTCATTCTCTAATGTGCAATTTACTTATAAATGTATAAATCGGTTCCATGTATTAATATATAAATAAAAGTTTATACTTAATTACTAGCTGACGGCAAACGTTTGTTTTCCATGTATATTATTTCTAGGAAACATTTTTTTAGTTCAATAAAAATAACTATCTACAATAATAACAAAATAGGGGTTGATCGTAGAGCGGTGAAAATTAGGGGTTGTATTTTTATGCTGTATCATAAAAATTAAAAACAAACATTTTTTTTGGGTGGACATCTTATTACTTAGGCGTTTGAAAGATAAATAGTTGACGATTCTAAGACTTACTGAATATGCATAAAAAATTTCATAAGAATCGGTTGAGCCCCTTCGGAAGAATACGGGAACGAACATTGTGACACGAGATTTTTAATATTAGATGTCTCAGTGTTGTAGATCTGTGGGGAAAACTGGAAAATTTTACGTCTTTATCAAATAGCTCTAGTTATGATTTACATAATATGCATTTCTTGCACGTGTGACGAGCGTGAATTTGACGTCATTCATTGATCGCATTATCTATGATTAACCTAGCATAACTCTTTAATCAAAGCAAATATATGTTATTATAGTCTAGACTTAACCATAATAATGGGAAGATTTTGTGTTCTCAATACTACAATTATAATTAATTTAACTTCTTTTCTTACGTTCATAAGTGTACTTGTTTACCCATATGAATAAAGTAATTTTGACTTGACTTGACAATAACCGTACCTACTATAGACTCGGATTAACCTGCAGCTGAGTTTCTTCTGCGGTCGTAGAGGCAGAATACGTATATGTATGTAGAACCAGCTGCCCACTGAATTTCCGAACCAATTGGACTTAGGGTCCTTCAAGAGGGTACCAATTTCTAAAGGCTGGCAACGCATTTGCGAGCCTTCTGGCAGTGTGAGTGGCCATAGGCGGTATCGAATAACTTGTTAGCCTTTTGCCCGTTTGACAACTGTTCTATAATTAAAATACTATTCATTGAACTTTTGAAAGTATGTGTGTCTGTCGTATGTTAACAACTAATTAGATTTGACATATGTAAGTCGCGACTTAAATGTTAGTCTCCCGTGTGTCAAGATCCGAAAAGAGTCTTGCGCTATCTCGTTTCTGTATATCAACCCTGAGTGATTTTGAATAGAAAACGTGTGTTCAAAGTTACACCGTTTTTCTAAATATAAATAAATGTTAGTCATTATAATTTATCAAAACAATTAAATTATTTCACTATACTAATATTATAACAGCTGAGTTTGTTAAGACGTAACCATGAAACTACAAAATAATTAGCAACTTAAGCAAATACAAAGTGTTTTTCCGTAAAATCCTTTTAAATTCAAATAATTATACACGCAATTATAATCTAAATCATTGTTAAAAATTGTAATTTTTCGGACTTTATTTAAATATGTATATTAATTTATATTACAATTATCTTTCTTCTAGCTTGATTATCCAGTTTAAAATACGTTTAATCATGATAGTTTTACAATTGTATTTATAATTATAAAAACATACATATAGCTACAGAACAGTATGTTTATGTGGTTATACTGTAAAACAAATACATATTTACGTATTCTAATAGTATACTACAGTGGTCTTTAATATATAGTTTACCACCCCTTATGTCTAACGCCTATGAAATCTTGGGAATATTTCTTAACAAAATATGTGTACAAAATAAGGTCTCACACCACAAGAGTCGATTAATTTATAATTAAATTATGTGGTTATTTTTCTCTATATGTGCGTCAGAGACAACACTGTAAGCTACAACTCGGGTTTATAAGAAACCGTATATTAAATTTTTCAATATCAAAAATTTGTAGTGGTACATACTACATATCCAGTGTACATTATTTCATAGAATGTAACAAAGTTATAAAACCAAACACGTTTTTAAAGCCATTTTGCTTTTAAAAAGCTTTATAAAACAGATAAAACTGAAGTTGTAATGTTTCGAATGGTTAACTAAATTTAACAATGAGAGCTATGCAACCTTTAGATTAGATTTGCATGTTTGACATACCTAGATTGAAGATAGGGCGAAACGTATAAGAGAAAATGAGATCGCGGTCCCTTGAGCTCTCACGTCGCTTTATTTCCGATCCTAAAATAGCCTCAATTGCATAATTTGATCTAAATAAATCTCCTTAACCTATATCTGTGTATCAAAGTGCGCTGGCTAGAGTATGGTTGATATTTCCTTGAGTTGGGTACAAAGTCCCTTCTATTGGCAAGCGTACGTTCACCGAACATTTGTCTACGTAACCAACGACACGACAATTCAGTCGTTGGTTATACGATTCAAAATTCTATATGATTAAACATATGCCAACACGACAAAAATTATCTTTATTCACACGTTTCTGTCTGAAAAATTATAATTATAATAAACTAATTAATAACTAATTATAATTATTATAATTATAATTATTATTATAATTATAATTATTATTATAATTATAATTATTATTATAATTCTTTGTCCCTCAATCTACACACCTATAAAATAGCTCTATGTCAAAACTCTTCATAATCAACGATGTAAGCCCCAGTTTCATATTGCGTGTGTGTATAGTGCCCTCAAGTGCACCTTCGTTGCACTCTCCTAGGACTTTTTGTGGTTATCATACTTATAAGTCACGACTCTTTCCTTCAGTTCAGTGTATACCTCACAAAATGTAATTAATTAATTCATATGATGTAATTACTAAAACTTTAATAACTTGGTAACAGATTGATAACTTGTGTTTGCTGCGGCGAAATACTAAATATTATAGCCTGTACCCAGGCGGATACGACAGTAGTTAATCTCTGATGACGTCATTTACAATTCTGTTTTTAATTTATGTTTTGCCACAGATAAACAAAAGGCGCGGCAACTAAAACCTCATCGTATTGGTCGATTTGGTTTGTGGTACGATTGATATTCCGTGTCGCTACGTCAGCCATTTTGATGTGTGCATGTTTTTATAAACGATATCGTTTTTAGGCGGAAATATAATTTATATTATGATTTTAGCCAATAATTATTCTAAATATATAAATATTTGCGGCAGCAGCATAATAGCACTGTTGGCCTAGTCTTCAGCGTGCGTCTCTCATCCCTGAGGTCATATGTTCGATTTCCGACTTTAAATTTAAAAAAACATAGTGAGGAAAACCGGCTTGCCTTAAACCCAAAAAGTCAACGGCGTGTGTCAGGCACAGGAGGCTGATCATCTACTTGCCTATTAGATTGACAAATAATCATGAAACAGATACAGAACTCTGCGGCCCAGACCTAAAAAGGTTGTAGCGCCACAGGTTATTATTATATAAAGCTTTGAACTGAATTTTGTCCACAATAACCATATAAAGAGGCCAGTGTATTGTCTACTGCTGTGCATGTTTCTACAATATTTTTCTTTATAAGTAGGTGATCAGCCTTCCGATGATGCTCCTGGAGTCTGTAGAAAACAATGCTTTGTTTGGTAACAAATACAAAACCAGAAAATAATGTAGAGATAGAAAATATTGACCAGGACTTACGTAAGCTTGTGTAAGTGAAGGTTAAACGATAGATACGTTTTAGCTTACGCAACAAATTAATCTTGTATTACCAATTACAGATAAAATATGTTTATAATGAAGTTGTTAATTACGTTTTAACTATGGAATTTATTTACTTAAAAAAATAAGCTACTATTACAGATTTCTCTACTGCGGCAACTGTGTAAACTCAAACTCAAACAAAAACAAAGACATTTAACTGTCACAATTCTAGAAGTGCATTCAGTTTATGACTGATACCTGTGTCTCATTCCTAACTCTATGGACATAGAACGGTCTACTATAAAGCCAACCATGAACCAATCAGGGACAGCCATCGGATAGTTAACAATTTGAGAATTTTAAGATTGTAATTTGACGGTTTCACTTCGATAGATTACAATCTAACGAATAATAATACGTTAAATTGTAAGCAGTACGTTGAGTTCACAATCTTTCGACAGTTCACAATCTCGCGAGCCAGATTACAATCTAACAGTGTTTACAATTTTACGGTGACATTTTTGAGAGAATTGATATGTCTAATAATTTAAGTGTATAAAAAACAATTTTAATTTAAAGATATATTTTTTTTTTTAATTAATACATATTAATAAAAGTGCGTGTGTACAAAGTGCACACTACAGATGTCAGAAGTGAAACTTTGGCAAACTAATTTTTAAGTCTTGTTCATATTTATACAAATATAAAACTTTAATTTTCCGAGACTTAGAGGGAGGGAAAAGGGAAGATATGTTAGGAATTTAATAAATTTAATTATCGTTAACATATTAAGTGTCGAAAATTAATACAAATTATAAATTTAATTTATTTCTTCGATGATAAAAACACGTGGCATTTTAATTTACAAATCGTCATGTGAGATTTCAATAATTTTTTTTGCATAAAATATAAAATATCTAGTAATACATATTTCATATCATCTTCGTGACGTTTTCGTAAAAATTTACCCTCATGCGCCTAAAGAAGTATCACTTTTAGCTCATATATACCATCTATACATTAAGTACATAGTCAATATTGTTCCAGTGTCACTCCGTACAAGGCGCGTCAGCCAGTTTGCCCCGTTATTGATCGCGCTGGTGGGGCTACCTGCGCGCGGTAAGAGTCAACTAGCCCATCGCCTCTCCCGACATCTTAACTGGAATGGAGAAAGCACTAAAGGTAATACACTGTTAACTTTCGGCGAAGAGAAAGCTGTTCTGCAGGGTGCAATTTTGTTAGCGTTCGACAGCGCGTTCCTGATTGTGATTGTTCATATTACGTCCATTATCGCAATCAAAAGCACGGTTTCATCTTTTTTGTCTTCTCAACCCCCTTTATTGTTTGAGATTGTTCTATATGTCAATAATTTTATTAGTATGTATGTATATATGTCTACACTAAACATAATTCAAAACTTCCTTTATGAGCTCGCTTAATTTAAACAATTGATATTTATTTCCTTATATCGGTAAAACGTGATGGGTTACGTAGCTTATGTATTATCACTTGTAAACACTGCACTTCAGGAAATAAATGTTTTCTAATAATAGACCATTGTTCGCGATAAACCTATTTTTGATAAGTCATCATCACTGAATCATCGCATTTTAAAAAGCTATTGTAGCTTAATTGAGCAGTGTTGGCTTAGTGGTTCCAGCGTGCCACTCTCATCCCTGAGGTCGTAAGTTCGATCCCCGACTGTGCACGATTGGAATGTGCAAATTCTTTCTATGTGCGTATTTAAAATTCGCTCAAACGGTGAAGGAAAACATCGTTAGGCTTGCCTTAGACCCAAAAAGTCGACGGCGTGTGTCAGGCACAGGCTGATCACCTGCTTGCCTATTAGATTGACAAATGATCGTCGTTTCGATGACAGAAATGTGAGGCCCAAAACTAATAAAAAATACGTTTTTAAGGTTCCACAAACAATTATATTTTAATTATTTTACTCATTTATATTAATATAGAGATAACTCAGTAAGGTAAGTTAAATAAACTATATCGGTCGCTCAGATAGTTCAGTGCTCTTTGTAAAGAATTTGCTTATTAAATATCAGAAAAAATATAATTTAATCATTATACAATTTATTGAAAAAAGTTATCTCTATCCATACACCAGACTTATTTTAAATGTCTATATTATTAACACTTATTTAGTTTAGTTTCATGCCCATGATAACCACTCTGCCTTGACCTGGTTTGTCTTGAAGCCAGGTATCTGTGTATATTTTATATTATACTTTGGACTAGAATGTAGGACACATTGCTGTTGGCAGAATATATTTATAATTTCATATGTATAAAGTGATATAATATGAATAACCATACACTTTCTATTTCATACAGATTTTTAGCCTGTTCTGGTAATAAGAACATATTATTATAGCTTTATTTATTCCAAACTCATTAAGGTTCAAAAAAAGTAAGAATATTTTATATGTTAGTAATGTGTAGTAATCTTAATCTATGTTAGTATGTGTAACATTAGTATATTCAAAGTTTGGATCCCATCTGGGTAAAAGCCTCCTCCATTTTTTTCCATTTTATTCTATTTGTAGCTGTAGTAATCCAGTTTCCGCCTGCTACTTTGACTATGTCATCCACCCACCTTTTTTGGGTCGACCTCTGTTTCTCTTACCAAGTGGACCAGTCCATTTTGTAGTTTGTACAGTTTATCTTTTGTCGATGTATCGAGAGATATGTCCTGCCCATTGCCATTTCATTCTTAAGGCGTGCCTAAGAGCATCAGTTAATTTAGTTTGTTGGCGTATGTCTTTGTTCTTTATCTTTTGTATCTTCTTAATTTTCAGTATGCTCCTTTCCATAGCATGTTGTGTCGTAAGCAATCTGTTTCTCACTTTGTTAGTGAATAAGAACATGAGAACATTTAAAAACAAAAACTTGGTTTCAATTACATACTAATATGCATTATTTTCGAATGCTATTTATTGGATATAAACTAGCCGTCTAAGCTGAGACAATAATAATTGTAGTTCGAAAAATGTGTATGTAAAGAGTCCGAGATATCTAGAACGAAAAATCCTTTTGAAATCCTTTCGAGGGCCTTTGTAATGAAGACGTTTAGGAAGCATATAATATATATGATGCAGGGATGCTCATGCGTTCATATATCAAAATGGTGAAGCCTTTCTTCCTTTCAGCCTCTCCCCTAAATTTCCAATATGACCGGTTTGCTTTGCATCTAACGCCTTTCCTCCACCCTCACCAGGTCTGTCCACCATGGGAGGCCGTTCAAGGCTTTGCCCTATCGGCCACTCCGTTCTTCGGGCAACGTGCCCCTGTGAACCCATTAATATACAGGAAAGCAATAAGTAAAATTTTTGTTCCAGTATTCGACTGCAGTGAATATCGCCGACGTCACATGGCCCTTTACGGAACTCACGACATCTTCAGGGCGGATAACCAGCAGGGTTCAGCTATACGCCGCCAGAGTGCGCAAGAGGCGGTACAAGACGCAGTTCTGTGGTTGAAGGAGGGGAATGGTGTTGCTGTAAGTAGCTTTTTAACTTCACATTTTCGATGACGCTTTGAGACGCTTTTTACGCTAAGAACTTACAAAGGTTGTATGGTATGGTATGGTTGGTGGACGCAGTTTCCGCACTTACACTCGTACTCGGTCCATTGTGCGTAAAGTCCTGGCTAACTAAGCCAGTCTAGCTCCTTCCAGAAGCACAGAAGTCTACTGGGCACTTCCTAGGCTTCACAGAGCGACCTCACTGCTTGGAGGATTTCTGCACATTGTTTAGCAACAGCCTCTCATGGGTGACTGATTCCTCTGCGCTGAAACAGTCTCTGCACATGGGGCTGTCTGTCGCGCCTAGAAAACGATAATGAGACAATGGCCCGTAATTGTCCCTATCATTGTTTTGAGATTAGTTCTGTTTCGGTTTAGAAGTCGCTTTGTGGGTTAACTGCTGGCAGAACCGGTACTATATGGTTGTATACAGTTAACGTTTAGAAGAAGATCAGAAGATGTTTAAGCGCGGAGTTTAGGAATATAAACAATTTCGTATAGATATTAATGAAATAATGTGATGCGCCGTCATTCTCTTATGTAGATATAAAGTGATTAGTACTTCTTCCAGTTGAAACTAAATGTTTTCTGTTATCGTGTATGGTTTAACATTTAGAGCAAATGTTTTGACATTAGTCGTGAACATGAAGTGTTTGCTAGGTGCCATCTGCCAGCGATCTTAAAATAGAATGCATTTGAGAATGTTTCTCAGAATCGTTTATATCAATTATTTTTATTCTCACAACCATGGTCGCACATGTCCAATTTTGATATTATTGTTTCATTAACTAACTTTGTATTTTTATCTTTATTGTTATCTTGCACTTTCAAAAGTAAATTTGTAAGTGATGGTTGAATCTTACTCATAAAATTTAAATCAGTGCACAGTGCACACTGTTGACTATAGTACTGTCTCTTTTTTCACTGCAAAATCATAATTTATCAGAGAGAGAGAGAGAGAGAGAGACGAAAGAGTAATTTCTTTAAAATAGTGGAATCATACGATATAAAAGAGGGATAGGACGCTCCCAGTCCTTTGCCCCTCTATCATATAAAATACAGATTAAGTTTTTATTTACGGGGCTTAATATTTTCTTTATACGATTTAAAAAGTTTATTTATGGAAATAAGATTTAAGCATTATTTTCGCAATATATGACATATGCCAGAAATCGTATTGTAAGAATATTCTCGTAAAACCGTTTATGATTAATTCAAAAACCAGGAAAACGAAAATAATTAAAGTTATTTTATAACAACTCAATTGAAAAGGTGCAAAGGTTTGCAAAACTAATTATGGACATGACAAAACATTATTCACAAACCAAATTTCACACTACATAACACGAAAACGCGTTATAGTGTTACCGCGTTATACAGGGGATTTCTGTAGGTGTTGTTTTTTATTGTAATCCCGAGTTCAATATGAACCGATTTTAATGTGGGATATTGTGAACTAAATTGAAATAGAAATAGTTTTAAATTAAACTCATCCCTTCCAGATATTCGATGGAACTAACATAACTCGCGACCAACGCAGAGAATTGAACGAATACGTCTCCGAAATGGGGTTCAGAATTCTGTTCATCGAATGCGTTTGCGAAGACCAAAACCTTCTAGAGAGAAACATCATTGAAATTCTACACTACTCAGCTGATTATAAGACAATGAGCGAAGAGGAGGCTGTAGATGACTTGAGGAAGAAATTGGAACATTACATGAGACAGTACGAGCCAATTGACGGCTCGGTGGAGAACATAGGTTTTGTGAGGGTGGAGGATATGGGGGAGATTGTCACTGCGCACAAGGTGGCCGGGCAAAAGGAGTCGGGGATACTCGGATACTTGTCTGGGATGCGAGCTTTTCCACAGACCATATATTTTACCCGGGTAAGTTCGACTTTTTTAGAAGCTAAGTTGTAGTCCTGTTCATGGGCAAAGTTAGCTCGGAGCCCAGCCGTGTAAATCTACTGAACAGTAGTTCTCGCGTGAGACGTAAATTGAAAATATAATGATCTAGAGCAAGGGTCATTGTTATTTATAACTGGCTGCACACGCGAACTTCGTTTCTCCGTAATATGATGTTTGTACTTAGCCTACGTTATAGGCTATATACCTAAAGTGACCATTTCATCTTTGACTCAAAATGGGACATTGGTTTAATTTAGGTCAAATAATAAGTAGTCAATCGAAAAAAAAAAAATTTTTAAGTTATTTATTTGGAAAAAGTTAGTCGGCTTAAAAGTTACGAATCACAAAATATAGAATGTTTAGTTATATTTATATTTATCAGAAGAACAAAATTGTGACGACTTCAAATAAGAATGAAACTATTGGCACGTTTTTTTATATACTGTTGCTTAAATTATAATAAAAACCTAAGTACTAAATAAAAAGTGTTTTTAAATGTATTTTCCCAATTTATCTCTATTAAAACCTTCCTCAGAGTGCAACAAATAAATAAAAAACTAATTGGTCCAGACGTCCTCGAGTTTTGCGCTTAGCAATATATATTGCGATTTTTATTTATGTAGTTTTAATACGTTTGTTAGATGCTATTAAAACTGAACAATGATTTTGGATTAAATATAAAGCGTCTGCGGTTTCTCTGGTGTAGCAAAACTGAGGAACGTTGCGCCTTATTAAGTGAAAGTCTCTCATTCACTCATTTTAAAATGTGTTATGTTTGACAGCAAAAATAAAATAAATAATGGTTTTACAAACAGATATTTTCGCGCACACGAGTACAAATATAAAGTATAGTACAAATTCTATCGATTAAACTATTGTGTCTATCGAAAACTTTAACCAATATATGTTATTTAATTTATTTATTGCTGTCCCAACCGACAAATATATTTTATAATAGTGACATTACGATAACATCTATTATCCAAGACGTCAACATGTTTTCCCAAGAAATCCGGCTTCTTATTACTTGATAATAATTATTTATAATTGCAATAATTATAAACACACTTGTTTATATTGGATGCAACCCAATTGCATTCAACTTGATATTTTTATAAATCCTTTGTGATGTCATGTGACGATAAAATTCATAATTTTTAATTTAGTATGAAAATGCTACACATTCATTCATGTTGTATGCATTTTGCGCTTCGTGAAATTTCATGCTTTAAATACTTTATAATTATGAAGGTTTTATATAGGGAAGAATCGAATATCATTAGATATTATCTACATAAATAAAATATAGATAAAAAAAATTCCTTGAGCTTTGTAAGCGTTTTTATATAGAAAAAAAATTGGAAAATAAAGAAAACATGGAAAAATTTAGTTTTATTTAGTAAGGGTTTTATTCCGGAAAAGCGAACAGTCTAGGGTAGCGTAGTAAAATGTTCCATATGTTGGTATGTAGCTACAAAAAAGGTAGGCTAACTAAAAATCATATTAAGGCGAAACGAAGTACGCCGAAGCTAGTTTTATATATATTATTATATACGTACGTAAATTAATAAATTTTTAAAAACATGTTAAAAAAAGTAGAGATTTTTGTTTGATTTTGGTAAAATCTAACGAATTGTGCACATCAGAACATGGTCTTCGTTAAATTATAACATAACCTAATGTTGGTCATAACTTGATTTATTGGAAAACATATTGAGTGGAGAAAATAAACACTATACTATAAAGACCAGAGTTGAGTTACATATAATATAAATAAATATAGAAGGCCAGAAAAACCACATCTAACGACTTACGCTAACGTTTCAAACTTCCTTGCAATTTAAATGTTTTTGTTATAAAATTTTAATTAAATTAACTAATTAATTATAAGACTTAAAAACTAATTAAGCTAATTAAAAATTTTCGTTTGCATTCACTGAACTTTGCTTTAGGGTTTATTCTGTTTTTCCAATTACCTAGCTGTTGTTTCATCTGTTTCTTTTCATCTCAACGTAAAGGTATTATGACAGAAAGAGACGAAGATTAATGATAAAAACAATTTCTACAGCACGGTGAGAGCGAATACAACGTCCTGGGCCGCATCGGTGGTGACGCGAACCTGTCCCCACGTGGTGAGCGATACGCTCACGCATTGGCCGAATATATCAACAGGATCGCAGGGCATGAACCAATGGCGGTATGGACTTCGGAAATGAGGCGCACAAAGCAGACGGCAGCTGAAATTATGGCCCCGAAGAGAGCTGTTAGGGCGTTGAATGAGTTGGATGCGGTAAGTAACTTGCTAGAACTGTGTTGCAGTGGCAGTGTGACCCCTTAATATCAGATGAACCGCTAGCCCGTTAGCCCCTCTAATAAAAAAAAGTTTTTCGATCATTTTGACGCTTTAAGTTATAAAAAAATGATTTTTTCCCAAATTAGATATAGTGTGCGCGGTAACTTATTTGATTTGCTTTCATTTATTCACAAAAATTATATAATTTTGTATTTAATAGTAAGTACAGTAGAATTTACATACAACGACTTCGCTTGTAACGACTAACCGGTTTTAACGACGATAATGTTTACTCAAGTTAGGTACTCGGAAAATATAACTCGATGCGACTCCAGTTTAAGCGACCGACTGCTTATAGCGACCATTAAGTATGATACGTCCGGCTAAAACGGCGCGCAGTGTTTTGTTTACACAACCTACGCACCAATATCACCAACTCTCTCTCTGAAGGTTGCGGAAACGCTCAATGTGTTTGTTCAGACGTACTTCGATGACGATTTTATTAAAACAATGATATCACGAATTCACAATACTGTACGAAGTTTTTAAGAGAGGTTTTAAGAGAAACCATCATCAACATCAAACTCAAATAACAGATAACGTTAGTTAGTAACAGAGTTTTTCGTGTAGTGCGTGTGTATGTAATTTATTATATATTCATAAGTTGTTACGATTTTTTTACCTATCAACGATAAATTATGACTTGTACTTTGGATTACTCGTTGTAGATAGTGTTCATTTAAATAAGCTGTGAATACATTATCTCAGATATAAATCAGATATCTTTGTCTATTCATATAGAATCTTGATCCGTGGCATAGATAAATTCTTTTGTTATGATTTTCTTCAAGGTGATTTTTTTTTCTTTAAAACGAAGTGAATTACACATATATAGAGTACTTACAATATTCTTAACCTACTTAGTAATTATAATTTAAAAAGTTTCGTCCCGGCAGCGTTTCCTCACTGTATTGCGTTTATTCGTTGAGCGTGGAAAACACCTTTTTACTCTTGGTATACATTTGTTTATAATAGGCCCTTTTATATATATTGTCTTTTTATAAGTAAACTAGCAGATCCGACAGACGTATTGTACACACGTCTTACATACAAAAAAACTAATAATCATTCTCGACACCACACAAAAAATTTCATCAAAATCTGTCCAGCCGTTTAAAATTAGTTCGGTGACATACACACGTACAGTAGAATTATATATTCATATAAAGATATGATATAAACACTTTGCCATTATTTAGTTTTCTGTTATATTAGACACACGATAGCCGAACCAGCGCATATTATTTTACCAAGGTAATGGAGCACAAAAAAATTAAACAAATCTGACGGCTAGTTCTCAAGCATTGTAGCCCCTGAATTTATCTATATAAATAAATAGTATAAACTCCCTTTACACTGAGTTATGTTGAAGTAGTTTTAATAATTAAATTTCGTTGCATTCATAATGGATTTGCATCGTGATAAAAATTCTGACGAAAGAATCATATGATTTATGACATGACGGGTATAGTATTTGTTTTTATAATCGCATTATGATAATTAAAAATATCGTGGAAATATACCATTAAATGTTATATTATGAAAGTTTTAGCTTGTTTTGGTTTGGAGATACTGAAAAATATATATTAACGAACATTAGTGATTATAAATTATTTAAATACAAGTTAGTATATTATATATCTGTTTCCATAGAACTGTTTTGACCTAGTGGCTTTAGTGGGCGACCCTCATCCCTGAGGTCGTAGGTTCGATCCCCGGCGGCCCACCAATCTTTCTATGTGCGCATTTAACATTCGCTCAAACGGTAAAGGAAAACATCGTGAAACTGGCTTGCTATGACCCAAAAAGTCGACGGCGTGTGTCAGGCACAGGCTGATCACCTACTTGCCTTTAAGATTGACAAATGATCATGAAACAGTTACAGAAATCTGAGGACCAGCCCTAAAAACAGTTGTAGCGCCACTGATTTATTGATGAATCTATGTTCAAATATATTTTATATTAGTTTTTTTTAAATATGTGTGTATGAGTGACGGGATTTCGAGCAGACAGTAATTAAGCCTAGACAGCTTTAGGTAATATATTTGCTCAACTTATCTTTGAGTGCACTTCAAACCATATGTAGTTTAATACAGATAAAGCAATTATGTTATACTAGTAATGCCCAGGCGTTTAACCTGTATGGCGTAATTTGCAGTTTACAATATGGCAATTCAAAAGAATGCCGGAGAGTTTCCTACCAGTTCTTCTCATCATTGATTTGGGAAGTGGTAGTAAATTTTGTTGTTTTTATTGACGTAACATTAGTATACACCTATATTTATATCATAAAGACCAAGGATTTAATTGTTTGCATTGAATAGGCTTCGAAACTGGGCCTATTTTAGCTTTAGGATATTTTAAAAAAAGTTCCGTATGAAATTACAATAGTGTAAGTGTAACCATATGAAAACGACCGATTCAAATTCCAATATTGCATACGCTGCGGAAACTATTGACAATAGAGCAAAGTGATGTATTACCGTTTTATAGAAGACTTCAATCTACAAAAAAATAATAAATTTAAATGAAATCATCGCTCCGCACGAGATATAAAATTAAGCCAGGTAATTGGCAATGTTACAAAATATGTTTAGACATTAAGAAAAGGATATCGAGTTAATAATTGTTTTAGATAACTGTAATCATTGTTTAATAACAGAAATATAGAGTATTTACGATATTCCTAACCTAAATAGTAATAATAATAATTAAATGTATAAATCGAAAACTAAAATTATTTTAAAAAGTTTGGTCCCGGCTGTGTACCTTTAATGCATTTCCATTCTGTATTGCGATACTTCGTTGAGTGAGGAAAGCACCAACTTTAGTGCATTTGAACCCCATGGCCCAAAAGTCTGCTTCAACGGGAACAAATTCAAAGTTGGAGGAAAGACTTTTATTTTAGCCGTTTATTTTCGCCTGCTCTGTGGCCGCGCCAGCTTTTGTGCTTGTCTTTATTTCACCATGATCCATAAATCTACATAGCTAACATATTTTTGAAGTTATACTTCTTTTGGCGCGTTGGGGAAAAATGATGGGACTAAATTTTTACAATGCGCGCGCACACCGTCACAAAAAACCGACACCCTGAAGTTAGCTATAGTTAACATTTTGTTTTTTTTTGTCGTTATACTTCTTTTGGCGCGTTAGGAAAAAATATGAGAGTAATTGTTTTCTATTGTTAGTGTCGTTGTTTCTACAAACGTAGAATGATAGGCGAAAGATAAAATTTTTGAAAAAAGTAAATAGTTTTCAATTGTTTTTCTGACCAATTATTTGTTATTTTTGTTACACCAACGGTAAGACAATAAAGGTTTTATTTTTTATTATTATTATTATCGTTTACAGGGCATTTGTGAGGGTCTTACATATGAAGAGATGCAAGAACGATTTTCACAAGAGTTCGCCTGGCGTGATCAGGACAAATTGCGGTACAGATATCCGTGGGGGGAGTCCTATATTGACATTATGACACGACTGAGGCCAGTTCTCTCAGCTCTGGAGGATGAAGATCACGCGGTGGTGGTGGGGCATCAGGCGGTGTTGCGATGTATGCTCGGATACTTCCTGGATGCTAAGCTTGGTAAGTTATGGCCATATGTTATGTTATATGTTAGCTTATGGTCCAGGGTCTACTTGGAGGGAGAGAAATATATCAATTTTAGTAATTTTACATAAGTGCTTTGGTTTATTGACGCACTATAAATAACATTTTGAACAGAAGTTAATATTTTTAACGAAAAGGATACTATATATATATATAACTTAAAGCAGTCAGTCCCCTACCTGTACCCCAATCATTACCCCGTCTTATAATGTTATTTATATGTTTATATTAATTGTATTTGTCTTGCAAAAATATACACGACATTTATGATAAATAGGTAAATGTTTTTATCTTATCAATTCAGTTTATATTTTAAATCATATGACATTTTTCTAGAATGTACGTCTCTAGAAGTTATTATATATATTATGTTAGTCTTTATGTATTGATATATCAGTGCATGCAGTTAAATCTAAAAACCTCCTTTTTAAGTAATCAAGGGACAAAATTGGCTGTCAAAAATTAATCTTGAATTGTATAGGAAAATAACGTTTTGTATGGCATTATTTTGTTAACGTAATAATATATTTTAATGATGTGATATTTTATCACTACAAATAATGTAAGATTTAATTAAAATGATATGACTCATAATGTATATAAGTTCTACGTAATATTCCTTTTGAGAAAAATTTGCACGCCATTATGTGTGGCAGAATATGCGAACATCTTGCAAGTAGTATTGTCTTTGATTTACATAACCTTTACACATTTAAAGAAAAAACTGTTTGACCAGATTGAAGTTATGTATTATTATAAATTTATGGCTCACGGTGTCCTCTATTTTTGCCAAAACCCTCCATCTTTTAGTCGATACCAACTCCGGGGTAATAAATACAGATAAGGCAACTTTCTCTACAGCTGTGATACGTTTTGACATCCAACATCTTTTGTCTTCAGTCACCGTGACCACGCACGCTGTAAAGCACGCGAAACGTCGGATAAATTTAAAATTATGTTAAATAGTTGTAAATTTATATAATACATAACTTCAATCCGGTCAAACAGTTTTTTCTTTCTTGCAAGTAGTTACATTTTTGTTCATAAAATATTATTATTCAAAATAGTAGTACTGTACAAACTGTAGTTCTTTACCCAATTGTTTTGAACCTCAAACTAAATAAAAATTGTGGTAAAAAATCTAAAAATATCACAAACAACTGTACCAATAAAAACACAGCCTATTTTAATATGAAACAATAAAAATTGCAAAAATATATTGTTTGGTATCAGCGTATATAGGTTGTATTAAGCGGAAGTCCATTTCGAAAATGGATTACAACGTGCGAATTAAATCAGGAAGTCAAAAATTTCAAAGATTTTTTTAAAACATTTTCTTTCATCTTCACTTGGCAACTATCGCATCTGAATTGGATCCTGACAACTTCTAATTTGTACAAAATTTTGAATTTGTAATGGTCCTTAACCAATATAAATATAAAATAATTACCAATTTATTTATAAAAGCTTGCCAACACAAAGTAATAAAAATAAAATACAATTTTTAATGAGACAAGTGTAATGGAAGTAACTATAAACAATTATATCTAATATATAAAATTCTCGTGTCTCAATGTTCATACCCATACTCCTCCGAAACGGCTCGACCGATTCTTATGATATTTTGTATGCATATTCAGTAAGTCTGAGAATCGGCTACTATCTTTCTTTCAAACCTATAAGTGATAAGGGGGTGTCCACCCCAAAAATTTATTTTTATTTTTTAGAAAAAAAAATTAGTTTAATATTTTTATGATACAAAAATACATACAACCCCTAATTTTCACCCCTCTACGATCAACCCCTATTTTTTATTATTGTAGTTATTTTTATTGACCTAAAAAAAGTTTCCTAGAAATAATATACATGGCAAAGCAAACGTTTGCCGGGTCATGTATTACTATAATAATTTAAAAATAGAATTCTCTACACTGTCATTCGATTTCGTATGCTTAAACGGTATCCTCATTTCACGGAAGCGACGATTAGTTTAACAATCAATCATCGGTGATATATCACGACCTACATTGTTTATTCTTAGATCGTGATTCTAGAACGTTATTGTTTATTGTAGGCATTATAACTTGTATTGTGGCGTTCATGGGTTACTTTTTAGGGGCTTTTTTTAATAATTACATAGGGAGCGTTCAAGTATTACGTAACAACGAATTGGGGGGGGAATGATGACCGAGATGCTTATATTTTAATGAAACGTATTTTATATTTAATATAATATGTCAATAAATATAATCCATATGGGTTGCCTAGCAAATTTCAGTCCAGAGTATGTTTAATTAATATTAAAAAAAATATATTTTTTTAAACATTTCACCGGTATGATTATTAGATAAATTCTATACCAATCGAAAGTATGAAGCCCATAGAATATGAAAACGTTAGGTTGTTTTTAATCAATTAATTATTGATGTGTATATTTTTTATGTGACACTAAAGTATATATTATACATCTTTAGTAAAAAAGAAAGTTATAGTGATACATATATAATACTACCCTGATTAAAAATATGGATTGAAAAAAATAAAAAAATTTACTACATGCTAATTATAAAAATAAAAAAAAATTATAATATTAATTAAACATACCTACTCTGGACTGAAATTTACTAGGCAACCCATATGGATTATATTTATTGACATATTATATTAAATATAAAATACGTTTCATTAAAATATAAGCATCTCGGTGAAGGTCGTTGTATATCGGGATCTTATACTATTTGTAAAACGTTACGATGAGGGACGGAGATTGAATTACGCGTTATTGTTAATATTATTTTCGACTTTCCAGTCACTTTCAGGTATAAAGAGTCACTGGGTGGTCACTAAACGTTTTACTATGGGGGTTAATAATCTCCAAAAATTGCGTGACATAATACTTGAACGCTCCCATATCCTGTAGGATGATTCATGTGTTTTTTTTAATATAATAAACGTAAATGGACAGGAGGATCACCTATTGTTAAGTGGTATACCGCCCATAGACACATTGCCAGAGGGCAAGCAACTTGCGAGGTTGCAGATTTTTTTAAATTGGCACACTCGTTAAAGGAAAAGGATTAATGCCTGATTTTCTTTTTATTTAAACTATTTTCGAAATTGTACACAGCATAATTAATATTATAAGAATCACTTTATATTGTAGTACTACTGCTATTCTTTTTGGCAATGTTATTTAAATACAGTAAACTCTTTATATCGTCATTTGTTATAACGAAAAAGACTCTATAACGTAAAAAAAATAGTGAATTTGTTTAGTTTAACACAAAACCCATACATTAATTCACTAATTATAACGCAACAGCCATTCACTATAACGAAGAAAGATTTTCATATTTAGACATCAACAATATATTTAAGTAATAATCAATTTTGAATCATATTTAATACTATGTACGACCTCGACGTTTCTAGCGCTTTTTGGCATCATTTGAAGTCATTAATACTTTTGCGTGTTAAAGTTTAGTACTCACATAAACTAAATATGTTTAACCGTCTTAAGAAATGTATTAATACTCAAATACATTGGTTAGTAGACTAAATAAAGTTATTAAACGTTTTTATACAAAACAGTATCATAATATCGGCTATTTATTTTACAGATGAGCTGCCGTATATGACTGTACCGCTACATACAATTATTAAGCTGACATCGTATGGGTACAAATACAAGGTGGAAATGATCAAGCTGCCAGTAGAGTGCGTGGATACACACCGCCAACAACCCAAGGTAATATATCAAATCAAAAGTGTCATATGTATCTAACACATCAGAATTTCACAACTGTGATTTATCACATTATGTGTAAATCACATACTGCTAAATAGCAGGCGTAAACTAAAATAGCGCAGTGTTGGCCTAGTGGCTTCAGCGTGCGACTCTCATCTCTGAAATCGTAGGTTCGATTCCCGGCTGTGCACCAATGAAATTTCTTTATATCTGCGCAATTTCATTTTGAAATTCGCGGTGAACGAAAACATCGTGAGGAAACCGGCTTGGCTACCCAGAAAGTAGACGGCGTGTGTCAGACACAGGAGGCCGATCACCTACTTGCCTATTAGATTCACAAATGATCATAAAACAGATACAGAAATCTGAGGCCCAGACCTAAAAAGATTGAAGCGCCTCTGATTTATTTTTTATTTAATTTTAAATGAAATAGCATGATCTTTGTTTTATTATTGCTATATATTTATGATTTTAAACGAGTAATGTTTCCATGTATTATTAAACACTTTGTAATTGGTTATTACATTATGTAGTGTATGTCTTAACAATTTGTGTTAACATATGTGCTATAATGAGTGACTTATATGTTGTACAATAATAGTGTTAAAATAATAAGAGGTGACTGAGGTGTTGACAGATAAGATATAATCTTAACTGTTCAATTGAATTTCTTGGTTATATATGGAACTGTTATTTAATCTGTGCATAACTTGACAGTTTCTCTTATATTAAGCTTTATATTACCTTTAAAACAGAGTAGGATAAGTGTAGATAAATTTATATTAAGGTGATTAACAATTGTCATAAATTAAAGATTTTTGTTATTTTATAACTTTTATTGCAATGATAACATAATATAATATATAAAGAAGTAACTTTATTCATTTAGGTAACACAATTTATACTTATGAACGTCAATAAAAATACATAATAAATGCTTCTAATTTTACATTTGCAGCCAGTTCTCAAATCAAGGACGTAGAACGAACTAATGGATCTGGCAATAAACTCTCCGCCAATCTTTTTAATCGCCAAGTTTTTTGTTTTACACAATGTTTGTAAGGAGCTGCAACAATTACACCATGTTCCACATGACGTCTTAAGTAATTAATAGTTAATTAGTAATAATAAAAAATTAAAAACAAAGATTTGTCCTCTATCAGCAGTAGGCATGGTGCTTCTAGCACGCAATTACATTCTCCTATATAATTGTTAAAGTATTATTATATTACCTAATTGATCTTTGTTTAATTACAGAATTGTTCGATAAGCAGAACAACTGCGGATGCCTTGTTGACGGTTCCATCCCACTACGACACGCTACCATCAAACCTCTGGCAGAATCCGGCAGAAGCACAACTTTAGGCTTCACTCGGCGCGGATTAGCCGTGCGAGCGACGCTGTCTCAACATTAAAGGCCTACTTAGTATGCCTCTTCAGGCCCCAGGCCTCAAATATGGCCCATTAGTTCGCGGTTGTGAAAAACCCCGAATAGCAGTGATTTAGACGCGTTATTTCACAGTGATTTTCTAGTGACTTTTCACAGTGATTAACGCGTAATGTCGCAGTGGTCGCACAATGTGAAAGTGAAGACTGACGGTTAATATTTTGTGTCCCTTTCTTAGAATTATTTAGCATTATTTTTGTTTTACGTATGTTTGAAGTAATTCTGTAGTCTAGCAATCGAAAGTTAATTGTTAGAAAACGTAGGTACACCGTAAAATTAAGGATTTTGTTATCACACTTGCTAGTAGTCAAGTATTTAATATGACGCATGTTATCCAGTTAAAATTAGATTTATATTTACTTTAGTAACATTTTTATTTCGAGTAGACTATTCGACTGAAGGACTTATATGTAAGGTCTTTTAAAAAATATAAAAAAGAGGGTAGTCACTCTTGAGTTATACCCGCATTAAAAGATAAGTGGATCTGAGTATGTACTAGTGGTATTTTCTAAGATTATGGACATCTTGCATTTGCCCGAACTGCCGGCTTTCAGCAATTTTTAAGTTAGGACGATGTTTTTAATATTAAGTTTACTTTGGATGTAATGGAGTATTTTTAAATAATTCCTATCACATGACAATTACAACCTATTGTACTTAGACTCTTACAATAAAGAATATGGTATTAATAAATGGTTTAATTTTGAATTTATTTAATTTTTTTATAGAACAGGGGGAAAACGGACAGAAGGCCCACCTGATGTTAAGTGATATCGCCGCCCATAGACACTCTCAATGCAGAGAATTCGCGAGTGCGTTGCCGGCCTTTTAAGAATTGAAACGCTACAGTAGGCAGCTGGTTCCACATAGTGGTGGTGTGCGATGGAAACCGTCAAACTTCACACATGTTAAAATGAAGACAATTAGATACTTATGAAAATATATTATAGAAAGCATATACACGTGTGAAAATGACATGAGAACTTTAAAAAGTGCAGAGCTAACCAGATCTATGCAAATTCCTCACAATCGCAATTCCTGCAATATCGCAGCACACAACTCACGAGGGGCATTTTGTATCGAAGAAGTCGTAGATAGAGACATAACATTTATTACTAACAAAAAACACACACACAAAAAAACAATAATCAAATAAAAAATAGAATGAGATATCAAAAAAAAAAACCTTTTTCCCATTCGGTTCGTTTCAAGTGTGTAATGCGTGTTTGCTGTGGTTGTAATTGGCCCTGGCTCAGCATTATGCTGAGGAGCAGAATGTTCCAAAGCGCTGGTCGTATGGAAATATACATAATATAATAAAACGAGTGGCGCTACAATCCTTAGTCTGGATCTCCGATTTCTATATCTGTTTCGTGATCAAATATTTCTTATTAGGTAAGTGGGTGATCTTTCTGTGCCCGACATATGAGGTCGACTTTAGTGTCTGCGGGTTTCCTCAGCCGTACAGTACGAGCAACTATTGTGATTTGTGCATAGTAATAAAAGTCTATTGGTGACCAGAAGTGATTTTAACGCGACGTGCATGACGAACATGCATGGTGAATGTTATGAAAGTCGATAAATCGAGAAGGCATGACCGAAGGAGGGGAGATCTGTGGTATTGCCTACGAGAAAAAGGCGTGATAATATAAATCATCATCATCAATGGTTATACAGCCCCTTGTGGGCCTTAGCCTCCTCCATTACACTTCGCCATCGCAATCTATCTAGCGCTTCCTGCGTCCTATTGCGAACCCCTATTGTTTCGAGGTCCTTGACAACTCCATCCCACCAACACAGCCTCGGTCTACCGGGTTGTGAGTTCAGTAAGGACCTTGGGGTTCTGTCGTTCGCCATTCGGTGCACATGTCCCAGCTACTTGAGCCTGTTGCACTTTATGAATTGGACGATGTTGGCGTCGTCTAGGATGTTATAAAGTTCTTTATTGTAGCGGATACGCCAAACACCGTCGTCGCAAACAGGACCAAAGATTCATCGAATAATCTTCCGCTCGAAAATAAGGAGAGAAATCTCGTTTTTCTTGCTAAGGGGCCAGGTTTCAGAACCATAAGTGAGCACTGGGCGCAGCAGAGTTTTGTACAGAACAAGCTTGGTATTCTTCCTGAGAAGTCGAGATTGGAAATATCTGCGAAGGCCAAAGTGTCATCATGATGCGTCTACTGATCTCTCGGCTGGGATTGTTATCACTAGTCAATAGACGAGATAATATAAATAAAATATATTAAAAACATGTTAAAAATCTTCATCGTAAAAATGTAAATAGAATTTTTATGTATCTTCAAGTGTTTGAAACAGTACCATTGATTAGCTGTTGTCTAGAGTTAAATTTAACAATTTTTTAAAAGTAAACATAATTAATCTTATCATCTAAATTTATCTTGTCGTGTTTAAATGGATAAAAAAAGAATTCCTTATTACAAAATGAAGATAAATGAGACAAGATTAGTGTCAAGGTAATAAAACACTAAATTTGATTAGGTGCAAAAGAAAATGCAATGTATGGATACAGAATTATGGTCTTTTTGTCTTATTATCTTTTTGTTCCACTTTTCTATACCTCATATTATGCGACCAGCCCATTTCCATTTCAATCTTCGTATCCTCGTTGTGACGTCTTCAATCTTCGTGTGGTTTCTTATGATTTTATTATTGATTCCAATACAATCATCTTTGTTTGCCGTTGGTTTATTAAGAGCAAGTCAAAATATCGTAATAGGAGTCCTAACTTAGGACATACTGTATACCTCTTCGCAAAAGTTCTACGGCTCGTGTTAGTCTTAAACTTTTTTACATACTAATGATTCTCTGCTTCAATTGTTTTAACGCTGGCTGGGTTTGACACTCAAGTAAATACAAATTTCTTTGCAATCCTCATAAGTGTGTGACGCGCGAGTTTGATCAAGTATAGCTTAGAGATAGTTGTTAATCATATGTTGTAGCGAACAAAACTAAATGGTGGAATTAGGGTAATCAAAATCCTACCGAATAGCGGTTAACAAGTAGGATATACAAAGCAACTGTGGATGGTGAAGTCGGGATGGGTAGGCCTTGTACCTGGACCAAGTCCAAAAGGTATTAGCCCGTAGCAAGTGGAGATCCGTGAGTAAGTAAGTATGTTTATTATGAAATATAAGCTACAGGTATCACTTATACCACGTCATTAAATTTGAATCGGTAGACATCCCTACTCATCGGCAAAGAAGAGATAGGGTGTTGGCCGAGAGAAAAAGCCGGTGTAAAAAGCTCTCGCTACTCTTTTAAAATATCAAATCATCATAAAAATTGACTGAGGCAAACATAGATAGAAGAAACCAGAAGGAGGGAGATACGGTCCGCTTTTTGGTTTCTGGCTTTTTATATGTAACGGTGCAAACAGGCAGGAAGATCACCTGATGTTAAGTGATAACGCCGGCGTGACACTCACATTGTCAGAAGGTCGCCAGTGCGTTGCCAGCCTTTTAAGAATTGGTACGCACTTTTCTTGAAGGACCCCAAGTCTAATTGGTTCGGAATGACTTCAGTGGGCAGCTGATTCCACATAGTGTCGGTACGCGGCACAAACTGCCTTAAGAAACGCTCAGTTGTGTAACGACGGACATCGAGGCGATACGGATGGTATATTCTAATCTGCCTTGACGTCTGATGATGAAAAGGCGTGATTATATAAAAAAAGAATTAAAAAACATCCTAATATCAGGTAGATAGCCAGCATTTAGATAAATACTTTAATAAGACACTTAAGTAATGGTTATTAGCTTTGAATAAGGTGAGAGGCTCAATGGCCGTGACTTACTTCATTGACAGATGCTGTACCTAACCGACCCCTAGCAAAAATAAACGTATGGCCATTGTAATACAAATCGCTCTCATGCGCACACGTTTTTCAATACGTGTTTTATATACAAATTTCTAAAACGTGTTTTATTTTTAAATTGTAGTATGTGACGTGTTTGTGGTATAATCAAGCAGGTAAGGTGGATAAAAAAATGTTAAAGAAAAAAAACCTAAATATTCGGACATATATTTGGTGTGGTATTGTCATTTTTTTTAGTTTTTTTTATAGTTATATGAACAATCAAGGAATTCGTATTGTAAAAAACTAATGTGTCATATGTGTCATTCGTAAAAAAAGTATGAGAGATGTACCGCCAACAAGTGGTCGTTTTCGTATTTCGGTCCTTATTCTAATTGGTATTCTAAGTCTAGGAATCTTGAGCCCCGTCAAATATATAAAACTTTATACAGAAAAATATACAAAAAAAAAGTTTGATTGACGATCTAATTCTGGGCTTTTAAAGATTAATAAAGAAACAATTAAAACAAATTGAAACAGTTTGGTTGTTGTGTACCTTTAACGCTGGCTTATTCGTTGGGCGAGGAAAGCACCACCAGCTCTGGGGTCACCGGTACTATCTACCAGTTGCCAACTTAAATCTTTAATAAGCGCCTGTTTGAACCCCAAGGCCCAAGAGTCTCTACTCCAAGGGGAACAAAATAGACGTTGGATGAAAGGCTTTTATATTTGAGCCGTTTATTATCTTCCACCTGCTCTGCGGCCACTCTTTTGATAGTTCAATTATTATTATCTTAAAAAAGTACGAAGCATGTACTGCCAACGGATCCAATAAAACATAAAACTTGTAAGTCATAAAACAATATATTAAACTGTTTATAGATATAGATATCCATCCGGCAAAATATGAGATAATTGATATTCTTACTATGTTGGAGTGTCCATTTTGTCATATATTAATTTTAAAATCTTTTTACCTTGTTTATGGTAACAAAAAAGGATTTAGCCGTCGCGTCGCGTCGGTAAATGATCGTTTTATTCATAAAGTAGCTAAAGTAAAGATAGAAGACAATTTGTTTCAACATATTATATACTTCCTTCGTA